TTACCTATTCTGTACTTGATCCGATTATAAAATTTATAACTTAGAATTTATAAATATAAAATACTTATCTTGTTTACTTATTCTATTGTTCCTAATCTTGAAATGCTTGTTATCTACAATACAGCAGAGACCGTTAATGTTACATATACATTAAAACTGGTAAGAGATTATATCCATTACAATTGAATCCAATATAAATAATTTAATTTGTGATTGATTACAAGCGAAAGGGATTCACGTTGGATCGGGCATTGTCTCTGCTATATATCTACAAATTGTCACTATCGATCTACAAATTACAACATGTTTCAGTTTGTCATAGGAAATTTCAAACACTGCTATATGTATATGATGTAATTTGAAAAATAAATAGAGCATGTGATCATCTTTTTTTTTTTGCTTTTTCATCCTTAAAATTTAAAACTTAAAGAAATACAAAATCAGTTAGTGAAACTAAACTAAAAAAAAAAAGTGTTTTTGTGAAAAGTTAAGGTTAAAACTATATTAAGTTAAAACTTATTGTTTATACTTCAACTTTGTTTCATATTGAGTATGAATCCACCTCCACATAATCAATTTGCAACCTATGATGAGCTTCTTGAATACGTCCATGCCTTCTACAAAGCTCAAGGATACGCTATAACTACAAAGAGGTCACGATCAGATCTGAAGGGTGAAATAAAAAATATAACATTAGGTTGTGATAGAAGTGGCTTATATAGAAACAGATCAAATCTTACAGATGATACACGCTATAAAAAGACAGCTTCAAGGCTTATAGATTGTCCATTTGAGCTTTTTGGAACTCGACACAATAATCTTTGGTACCTTGAGATTCAGAATTTAAAACATATTCATGATGCATCTACGGAAATGTCTGGTCATCCAATTATCCGAAGATTGAATATTGAGCAAAGAAAGATGGTTAAACAAATGGCTGCTGCTAGCACTCGTTCTCATTAAATCTTGTCAACCATACACCAAAATGATCAATCTTCAATAGCTATCTCTAGGACAATCTACAATGCTTTGCATTCCATTCATCAAGAAAAACTTGAAGGTATGACTGTAATTTTGTGTAATTATATGTAAGTTTTAATAAAATGATTTTTATGTAATTTGTAAAAAAAAACATAATCATGATTCTATGTAATTATATGCGTATTGATTTGATCAGTAAACTTTATGTGGAATCTATTATAGTTCAATAATGCTAAGTCATAGTGCTGATATTACATATCATATGTGAAATTTATATGAAATTCAAGTTACTGAAACTTATTTGAAATTACGTATATTGTAAGTTTGTAATTTTTGTAACAAACTCTACTTGAAGATCGTACACCAGTCCAAGTCCTTCTAGACGAATTACAAGGCTCCGAGTTCAAATTTGAATATCAATGCGACCACCAAAACCGCATAACATGTCTCTTTTTTGCCCATAAAATCTCTGTTGCATTAATACATACCTACTCTACTGTGCTGTTAATAGATTGCATGTACAAAACGAATAGATATAAAATGCCTCTTATGAATGTCGTTGGGATGTCAAGCTTTAACACAACATTTTTTTCCTGTTTCGCTTTCCTAAGTGATGAAACGGAAACCGACTATGAGTGGAGCTTGACTTGTGTATTAAAGATTTTTAATAGATCTACTTGTCCGAATATTATTATTACAGATAGGAAATTAGCACTAATGAAGACTATCAATAAGGTTTTTCCTAGTGCAAAGCATATCTTATGTATGTAGCACATAAATAAGAATATTCTGGCTAAGTGTAAGCGTCATTTCATCACAAACGGGAGTTGGTCTGAATTTATAAAAATGTGGCAAGTAGTAATAATATCGAATACTGAACAAGAATTTACAACCAAATGAGATGAATTTTTAAAATGTTATGTGAACCAACCTGAAGCTTTAAGGTATATTCAAGAAACCTAGATGCCACACAAGAAGCATTTTGTTTCTGCCTGGACCAATTGCTATTTGCATCTTGGTAATATGGTAACTTCACGAGTGGAAGCTGCATATGCTGCTCTTAAAAAGTATTTAGGGTCATCTACAGATATGAATAGTAAATGATTTAAACTTTAATGTTATAAATTATAATAACTAAAAAAAATTGTAATCTTAATCCAGGTGATCTTGAGTCTGTGCACCGAAAAATTATATTACAAATAGAGTCTTAGGCAAGAGAAATCTGTGCAACAATTTCTTCCCAACATATAAAAGTATAACATGCATACCGGATCTCCTTGTTCAAACCTCTTCTATACCATATCTCTGCTTTCGCCTTAAATAAAATTCACAATGAGTTAATCAAAATATCAAATGCTACCCCAGATGTTTTTCTAAAGCCTTGTACTAGAATTTTCAGATCAATGATAGGACTCCCCTATTCACATGTGATTAATGAACATCTAGCAACTGACCAAGCATTACAGCAAGCTGATATCTATGAACACTGGTGAATTCAGGGTCGTTATATAGAATTTCTAAAACCTACGCACCTTAATAATAATAATCACATTGATCTTAAATCTCTTCTTCAGCACCTTGCACAAAAATACCAACATTGGCCACCACATCAACAAGTCGCTATTTATTCACAGTTAGAAGAGTTGGTGAACACACCTCCTGTTGTTTTAGAAGACCCGGTTGTTAGTAAATCATGAGGAAGGCCAGTTGGCACAAAAACAAAAGAATGACACAAAGAGAGCCGTCTGAATTTGAATATATCGAAAAACGGTTAAGGCAATGTGGTATATACCACCAAGTTGGTCACAATTGTCGAACCTGCCCAAATGTGCCTAATTAATAAACTTGTATACGTAGTGGCACAAACTTGTTACTGGTTATATATTTAGACTAGAGCTGCATTTAAATTTGCCTATTAAATAAACTTGTCTGCTTTGAACGCATTAGTGTTAGGTTCTATATATAGTAAAATGAGTATAGAAGTTGTGTAAACATGAATGTCAGTGTAACTACCATAATTTGCTGTATAAACTGCCCTGGGATCTCTTAAAATTATTAGTAAAAAAATCACGTAGGGTATACTATAAAGGGGTGGTTTATGCGGCAAATTATATTTTGAAACTTAGGTAGCAATTTGTACTCGTGTAATATTTCTTTATGCCAGAGTCACATGACTAAGTTTGGAGGGTTTGGAGATCGGCTTTAATCATGTAGAGGGTGGCATTAACAAAAATAGGGATGGCGTTAATAATTCACTAAAAAATATTTTTCTAATCAAAATAGTTTGTTTCATAAAACCAAATTAGCAATTATCTTAATAAAATTTTGAAAAAATAGCATCTAGAACTATATAGTAACTCTTTAAATTTTAGTCATTTATAAATATCTTTGATTTTTACAAAATTTTATTAAGCTAATTGATTCTTTGTATTAAATAAAAAATGTTTTTCTAATCAAAATAGCCCTAGTTTCATAAATCCAAATTAGTAATTGTCTTACTAAAATTTTGAAAAATAGCCTCTAAAACTATAACTCTTTAAATTTTAGCCATTTATAAATATCTTCGATTTCTTAAAATTTTATTAAGCCAATCAATTTTGTATATTAAATAAAAAATGTTTTTCTAA